GGACCAGAATAGACACTTTTCTGAAGATGTACAAATAGTCAACAAGTGCATGAAAAGGTGCTCAACATCATTAATCATAAGAGAAGTGTAAATCGAAACCACAATGAGATATCACCCTACACCTGTTAGGATGGCTATTATCAAAAAGACAAGAGATAACAAGTGTTGGTGAGGATGTGGAGAAAGGTGAACCTCTGTATACTGTTGGTGGGAATGTAAATTAGTACAGCCACTATAGAAAACAGTATGGAGGTTCTTCAAAAAAATAGAACTACCATATAGTCCAGCAATCCCACTGCTGAGTGTATATCCAAAAGAAATAAAAATAAGTTTCTCAAAAAGATATCTGCATTCCCATGTTCACTGTAACATTATTCACAATAGCTAAGGTATTGAAACAACCTGTCTGTGAACACATGAATGGAGAATGAAGAGAATGTGGTATATATACACAAAGGAATTTTATTCAGCCATAAGAGAAAGAAAATCTTGCCATTTGCAACAACACAGATGAACCTGGAGGACATTATGCTAAGTGAAATAAGTCATAGACACAAAAAGGCACTTATGTGAGTATGTGGAGCCTAAAAAAGACAAACTCATAGAAACACAGATTAGAATAATAGTTGCCAGTGGCTAAGGGGTGGGGGAAACAGGGAGATGTTGATCAAAGGGTCCAAACTTTCAGGTATAAGATAAACAAGTTCTGGGGATCTAATATACAGCATGGGTGGTGATAGATTTGCTAACTAAAAAAAAAAAAAAAATAAAAAATAAAGAAAAAAATTGGACCAATGGAATGATGCTAGCTTTGCCTGAGGAATTCAGTGAATACTTCCCAAAGAGGCACCATTTCAGCTTTTGGCTAAGGCTTGGAAAATGTATAGGTGCTTTGTTTGTGGATTGGTTGTAATATAGGAAATTGGAACATGAATGTGTAGGAAATGAAATTAGACATACACTTACATTCCTGACCATCATGATTAGTATGTAAGTCCCTGGAGAGGAAGGAGACCATTTCTTTTGTATTGGTATTCTCAGCAGTGTAGCTTAGCCTGTCCCTGCACTTAGTACCATGTTTATTGTTTTATAAATCTTAGCCAGTGAGTTGAATATGGCATGGACATAGATCACTCCTCCACCCTTCACAAAGATATATTGAGCACCAATTGTGTATCAGACTTATTCTTCCCTGGCTTCAGAAGCTTGGTTGAATGAAGGAATCAGTTAAGTAGACAGGCAACCATAGTAGTGTGACGAATGCTTTAATAGGTGCATGCCCACAGGGCTATAACAGCACACAGGAGGGGATGTAGCCCCATTGAGAGGGTGATATAGAGACTAGAGAAGGCCTTGAAAAGCAACTTCTGAGCAGAGATTTGAATGACAAGCAGGAACTGACTTGAAAGAGGGCAAGCACCATAGTAGAGGGAACATCATGCACATAGTTATGATATATTCAAAGAATAACAAATAATTTCCTATGAAGGGTGGCAACAAATAATGGTATGAGAGGAGGCTGAGAAGTGGCTGGGATCAGGCCACAGAGGGCCTTTGTGTCATGAAATGTTTGGATTTTTGCCAGTGACGGCAGTGGTTAGGCACTGGGATGCTGGTTGAGATCAGTGTTGTTCAAAGAGAAGGTTGTAAACCATTAGTGAGTTGTAAAATCAATTTAGTGACTTCAGACCAACATTTTTAAAAAATGAACTAGAAAAGAGTAGAAAATATTAGTGTGCATTGTAAAGGTAAATAATGTTTTGTGAAGCTCTTGTTTCAATTATATTTGTGAATATTGTGTCCTGATGTAATTTTTTTATCTGTTGGTGATAGCAAAAAAATTTTTTTTGAGAAACACTAGTCTAAAGGCTCAATGATACATTAATGTATTATCAATTATCAATTAATGTATTAATGTACTTTTGGTAGCAATAAATGGAAAACCCAGGCTTAAATGGTAATAATCACTAAAAATTATTATAACTAGAATTTCATGGTTTGGGAGTTCTAGGTACTTTAATTTCCTTTTGGTATTCTAATCTGCCATACTCAGTGTCATCATCAGCCTAAAGCCAGTTCCCCAGTGTCACTCAGAATAACATGCCAACTTACTCTTATCCAGCAGAATGGACCCTGGATTCTCACTGCTTCAAATTTGTTTGGGCCTGTCCATCCTGAACCCATCAATAACAACGGGATGGAAACATCATAACTGCCTAATCTGGGGTAGATGTTTGACAACCAATCCACCATAAGGAACTGTGATGCAATGTGGTAATTTCAGGGTATTATGAAAACACTGTAGAGGCATCCAGGTTGACAACTGATGAACTTAGGTGTGAGGACAGTCAGAGGAGCCACCCAGGAGAGGTATAAGGAGAGGGCTGTCTGGGTGGTAGGGACTGCATGAACAAAAGGTGGTAAGGGGAGCTGTGCACAGGGAAACAACCAAAATAAGGACTTCTATGCTCTAGAGCAAAATATTAGAGTCAAAGGTAGTATCTGAGTAGTGAGCAGATGCCTGGTCAGAGAGGAGTCATGTTAAAGATTCTGGACTCTCCCATAAGAAGTGAGCGACTGAAGATCATCTGCAGGGAATTAAGATGATCAGATTCCTATCACTACAGCTTCAGTGTGGAGGAAGGCAAGTTAGGAGGCTGCTGAAGTAATCCAGGATAGAGATGTCAGATTAGGGAGAGAAGTGACTGCAGAATTGAGACACATTATGGAAATAAAATTAATATGGCTTGTTAATTCCAGTGTAGGTGAGTGTAAGGAAACAGTCCCTGGCTTTTCTAGTCACATCTCCTTTGGATTTTGGGTTTACACTGTTATTTCTTCAGGCTAGAGTAAACTTGTTACCTCTTGAGAAGGGAGTTGGCATTACTTTGTCAATCTTACTGTAAAGAACCAGAGCCCGGGCCAGCCCGTGGCTCACTCGGTAGAGTGCGGTGCTGATAACACCAAGGCCCCGGGTTCGGATCCCATATAGGGATGGCCGGTTCGCTCACTGGCTGAGCGTGGTGCTGACAACACCAAGTCAAGGGGTAAGATCCCCTAACCGGTCATTTTTATAAAAAAAAAAAAAAAGAAAAAAAGAACCAGAGCCCGGGCCAGCCCGTGGCTCACTCGGTAGAGTGCGGTGCTGATACCACCAAGGCCCCGGGTTCGGATCCCATATAGGGATGGCCGGTTCGCTCACTGGCTGAGCGTGGTGCTGACAACACCAAGTCAAGGGTTAAGATCCCCTAACCGGTCATCTTTATAAAAAAAAAAAAAAAAGAAAAAAAGAACCAGAGCCCAAGATGGAGAACCTTTGAAAGAGGTCCAAGGGAACTCGTTTTTCTGGGCCTCTCTTTTGCATTTGAAATTTATTAAAGAGGTGCCTAGATAGACTTAAGGGCACATTCCACCAACGGAGGTAAAAAGTTATCATTTATAGGCCAGATTAGTAATATTCCTGATAAACTGTTTTTCTTATGTTATCTCTGGGCCTTTAGAAAATATGATAGGACTTGTTACATACTCTTATTTGGACCAAAATATTAAAGGGGTCTTCTGAGGCCATTGTGACAGTGGCCCATTAGATTGTGAGCTTCTTGGTAGCAGAGGTTGTTTCTTCTCATCTCTATATCCTTTGTATCTAATCCAGGGCCTGACATATGGAAACATTTGGTAAGTATTTTATCCCTGGTGCCTAAAATGCTGCTGAGGACTAGCAAATGCTTAATAAGCACTTAGGAAACTACTGAGAGCCCCAAAGGGAGATATATTTCTGGGGAACAAGAGGAAAAGCTATGGGAATCCAGCCACAACCCACCTGTTCTCAATACTTAAACTGCTTTTTTTTCATGTCTAACTGGGGTGAATGTTCACTCTAAGACAGAAAGAGGGGTGAATTTTGGGGGAGCATTGAGTTGTAGGTTTATCTGATAAATGTTTTGAGTGTCTACTATATGTCACTCAAAATGTAATGTAAGAAAACTTTCTAGCAGTAGTGTGAAAGATAAAGTGATATGCAGGGAAAGAGATGGAGAGCCTTACCAGGAAGAGTTTGAGACTAGGGCAGTTACAGTGAAATAGCACTAGAATTGTTCTGTCTCTGAAGCTCATGTCTGTTTGCTAGACCAGTAACCCCTCCACCCTCACCTTTATTATCTCAATGGTTGGGTTCAGTGGGCCAAACACACTCGGAAGGTACAGCCTAAGATAAAATCTCTTCTTCCCACTCTACTGGCAACTGTCAGGCCCTGTTATCAAGTGTTCAGGTCAAAGGTGATGGCTCCTTTCCAAGTCTTTCCTTGACTACCATCTAGTCAAGCCTTGAGCCTAAAAGATGGGCAGCCTGACTGGGCCAAGCCTGGCTTCACAGTAATTACTGGATATAAAGGAGTTCCCTGCTTTTCACATGCCCTGGCCATTCTGAAGCCGGATTTCCCTTTTCTGAGTTCCCAGAGGGACTCAGATTTGACAACAATAAAAACTTTCAGAAAATTCCCAGATGGTTTAACTTCCTAAACCTCCTCTCATTTCAACCCTCTCCTTTACCCCTCCCTGCACCAAGAGGAAGGAGTTTATTCTGGAGTCCAACATCCTCTGTTGAATGCCTCCACCCCTTTGGTCAGGGTGGTGATACATCTGAATGCTTAGGTCCTCCCCTCCAAGGCTCATTAGGGCTTGAGGGGAGCACATGAAGGTAATGTGTGATCCTGCTTAGAAACAGAGGAATGGTTTCAGAGCCCTCTGGAGGTTCCTAAGGTACTGATTGTTTTAAGGAACTTTCACTTGCCCAATGTCAGGAAGTAAACTTTCTCTATGAAATCCCAGGGTCTCAGTCTCCATGCTGGATATCAAAATACAATCACTTTCAGGTGCTGGTCTGGAATTACAGGATACATATGCCCCATCTAAACTGGCATTAAGAAAAACAAAACTGTACTAACCAAACACAACCCATGTCTCAGAACCAAAAACATAAGCCATGAATTTACTATCCCCAGTAGACTGAGCATTTGGATGGTTCTTATTCTCCAGAAATACCAGGGGGAGAAAAAAACAATTTTTATAAGTATTCATATAAGGAATTTTATCTATTGTGCAAAGACAGAGCTATTAAGATCCCCAGAAGATTCTGGGCCCCATTAAGACTGTCCATTTTACAACTCCAGCTCCAGTTTTTCTCAGATATTAAAAGCGCTTCAAAGATCTGTGATCATGAGTACTGAAGAGGGCCATAGACCCTTCAGCTCCATTTAAATCCGTGGTGGTTGAGCTGTGTGGGAGCTGTGGATGCTTGCTTCCTGGTTCTGGCCGAGGTCCTGCCGAAGTCCCTGCAGTAGCTGGTTTAGGAGTGTAAGGTTGCTGTCTCTGCGAGGCAGAGGCAGGGGTGGAAGGCAGTTCCCTTTATACTCAATCACTGCCATCTTGGCTCGATCCTGCTCACTCCGATTTGGGATCTGCAGCATTCTCGTGTAGCCCCCATTTTGACCTTGGTACCGAGGTGCTAGTACTTGAAACAGCTTTGGGATCAAGTCCTTCTCCTAGAGGGAGAGTAATCCAGGTGAGAACAGAGTCAGGCACAACACAACTGCAGAGGCATTTAACCTTCAGCCACTCTCAAAAGTAGAGTCCAAACACACACACAGACCTCCTCCCCCACCCCAACCTGGTGAAGTCAGGGAAGTTACACAGAGTGTCATTTAAAGCAGTTGTGCAGACTCATATTCACCTCGTGTTCAATTATAGGCACATGTTTCTAATTCAGTTCACAATACTGGTCCGTAAGTGAATGCCCTAGCTTAATTCTGCTCAGCTCCCCTTTCTCCAACAATCCCCTTCCCGAACCACTGAGCAAAGGGTGCGATTTGGTAGATAAAAAGGTCGCACTCACCGTAAGCCAGAAGTCAGCCATGCGCATGGCTCTCTCGTTGGTGTGTCCTAACTTTCCATAGTCGATGAGCTGTGGGGACATAACATCACGGATACAAACAGAGGAAGAATCTAGGGGCCAGTCCTATTCCTCTAATGCCGTACCATTATTCCACTAACAAAGCATCTCTGTAATTTCAGGCCACCCCAACTCCGCAGCTCTAACCAGTCTTCCATTTGAGGCGCCGGAGGAGTGGGCTCAGCTCAGGGTACTAGGCACTCAGACTTTGGGAAGGGTTTGTCAAGGTGGTTCCACTGCCCTTCCAAATCTACCCGGACCCTGCACCCTCAGACCAGACCCATGAGGTGGACAAGAGGGCCCCGCCCCTCACCTTTTCGGCGTAGCCTCTCATCTCGTCCACGCGCGCCCATGGCGCCTCAATGCGTTCGTGTCGTACCAGTCCCGTGAGCAAGTTCCGCAAGAGGTGGATGCGGGACTCGGGACCAAGGCCCAGGCGGCGGAATTTGCGGCCATGGGAGATGGCAGCAGGGACCGACAGTCTCATGTTCCTAGCTTTCCCCCCGCCCGTTGGAGGCCGGAACTGGAAACTCGCGCGGGAAGACGAGAGGGAATTTCAGGGGACGCATGCGCTGTAGTTCGGTGCGTGGTGGACGTGTTTGCGCATGAGTATCAGAGGCTGCCTCGTTGGCAATCTGGGGGCGGACGAGGGAGGGGTGTGACCTTTACCAGAGGCGGAGGGATGGGAGGGCGTCAGGCACCGCAAGCGCCCCATGGCACGCCGAGGAACGAGGCGCCCCCTAGTGTGCGATAAGCCGGCCGTCGGGTTTCTCTTGTGCTGCGTCTGCTGAGTTGAGGCCCTTAGTGCGATGGGACGCTCCACCGCGGAGCCTGCTGGGAAAGTGAGTATCTGAGAGGAAAGGCGTCTACAGGGGGCGGGTCCTGTAGGCCCCCCGGCGTGTCTGACACCCTGCGCCCATCACTTTTTAACACAATGGTGAAGTGAATAATAATGCCCAGAAAAAAATATGCAGGGGATTGAAAATATTCTTTCGTTGAGGTAATCGTTCCAGTTAAAAAATTACAGCACTAGGGCCGACCCCGTGGCTCACTCGGGATAGTGCGGCCAGCGCCGAGGCCGCGGGTTCGGATCCTATATAGGGATGGCCGGTGCGCTCGCTGGCTGAGCGCGGTGCGGACCACACCTTGCCGAGCATTGCGTTCCCCTTGCTGGTCTTAAAAAAAAAAAAAAATTACAGCATTAAAGGGAAAATAATGGATTAATACTTTGCACTAAAGGAAAAGTAATGGATTAATACTTTTTAATTACATCAGTGTATTTTTTGGAAAAAAAGGAGAAAACATACCTACACATTTATGTTATTGTACAGTAACAATATAGTTCGTTTCTGAGCCTTAACGTCTGCAAAATTGCAATGATTGTCAGAATTGCTCCTTGTTATGGGTTGAATTCGACCCCCTCCAGCCCCCCAAGATATGTTAAATCCTAACCTGCAGTACCTGAGTGTGACCTTATTTGGAATAGGGTCATTGCAGATGTAATTAGTTGAGGAGAGGTCATACTGGAGTAGGGTGGGCACCTAATCCATGTATGATCTATAAATATTTGTGTAAGTTTTGATAAATTTTAACTTTTTATAATAGATTTGTATGTAGTTTATGGTAGTAAATGATAAGATAGACTAGTATCTCCATATATTTTATGCATTCATCTCTAACCTTTTCTTAATTTTTTCAGTATTTCTAGGCTATGTGGTTAACTTGTGAATTTTTTCAAATTATCACCAATCTCCAAAAAAATTTCTATGTATTTATCGAAAAAAATTTGCTTATAAGTGGACTCATGCAGGTCAAACATGTGTTGTTCAAGGGTCAACTGTAGTTAGCTTTGTCATTTTATCTTCCCTTATAGGTGACCAAAGAATACTTTTTGTTAATTTTAATTTTGAAAATTTTCTTTCATGTGAAGCAATAGATAAACAAATAGTTAGGAAAATCATAAACATCTGTAAACATTGGCACAGATTTATACAAATCACACTTCACAATAAATTCCAGAAATTACACCACCATCGACGTCTTGTTTCTTGGGGAACAATTCTTGCAGCTTTCAATTGTCTCCACAATTAAAATATTTCAGTAAGATATCTTCACCAGAAAACTCATCATTAATTTCTACTGGTAAAAACTTGTGAAGATTTTCTTCTGCAAAAGTCAGAGAAAATGAACATTGACACCAACATTATTTCATTCATTGTTTTAGATGTGTGTCCACTTGGTGAAAACAATTGTAGCATCAAACATTGTCCTTTTGTCTTCTGGCAATGTAAAACCATTATCTATTGTCTCTACTGGCAGTCTTCAAAATTTGATTACTTTTTTTCTGTGTCAATTTTCTTGCATTTTGTTGTTGCAGAGTTACTGGTTTCTCCACAATTGCTGTGGGCTGATATTCCAGGAATAATTTAAAACCTTGGTGTTTTACTCTATGTTGTTCAAGGCTTATTCTGGCTGATTGTAGGTATATTTGTGTCTGATTGATCTCATCTGAAACTTTACATTGACTTAAAAAACTCAAAAGAAAAATTCTATACAACCAAGATTGTTTGTTTTAGATCTACTGTTTTAAAAGCAGGGATATTTTGAGGGCTGGCCCATGGCTCACTTGGGAGAGTGGTGCTGATAACACCAAGGCCAAGCGTTTGGATCCCATATAGTGATGGCCAGTTAGCTCACTTGGGAGAGCATGGTGCTGACAACACCAAGTCAAGGGTTAAGATCCCCTTACTGGTCATCTTAAAAAAAAAAGAAAAGAAAAGAAAACAAGCTCCTGATTTATATGAAGCTAAAGTCAAGGTGGTCCAGAGTTGTAGAGGGACAAGGAGTTTGGATAAAATCAGCATACCCCTCTATGGTGATGTTTCACTCTGGAATTGGTGACTGGCTCTTTCTAACTTGGCTTACTGTCTTCATGTGGTGTTCTTTCCCCACCCTATTTCATTTCCTTATATTATTAGTGAGATGAACTGCCTGCTGCTGAAATTAGAAGGTCCTTCAAGGTCAGAGAGGGACTCTGACTCATGCATGCCATCTCCTTTCCCTTTGCCTCCACCCCCAAGCTTGCATTGTACTTTTTTGTTTATAAGCCTTTCAATACAAGTTTGTAAAAGAAACTTAAAAAAAAAAAAAAAAAACTTTGCCTCCACCCCCAAGCTTGCATTGTACTTTTTTGTTTATAAGCCTTTCAATACAAGTTTGTAAAAGAAACTTAAAAAAAAAAAAAAAAAAAGAGAGAACTTTGATTTTTTTTGGGTGTCCTTTGATGATTTCAAATCTTAGAGTAATTACTTATCCTTTTTTTCTCTTTCATTTAACAGGTATTTATTGTGAATTAATAGGCACGTTGCTTGTTAGCTAGTTTTTATCACACCTTAGTACCAAGCATCTCACTAATTGTGCCTCTGCCTGGTAAATTCTTTTTTCTGTGACCTTTCACTACTTTGTCTAAATTATTCAAAAGATCTTTCCAGCTCACTTCTTCCTCTGAGCCTGAATTCAGACATGTCACTGACTGTACTATTTGCAGAGAATCTGATTTGCCTTGTTTTGGGCACTTTCTCTCACCCTAGCTGACATTTCTTCACCATTGGAAACTGGTTCTTTTCTTTATTCCCTGCTTACCTATTTTAGAAACCCTTGAACCAGATGAAAGTGGGACAATAGATAACATCAGAGGAGACAATCCCTATAAATAGTCCATTTTAATAAGAAAAGGTTCTTAACCTTTTATGTATCTTTTGGTCATGACTGACAAATCCTATAACTCTGAGAATAACATTTTTAAATGCATAAAATGAAATATAAAAGATTATAAAGGAAACCAATTATATTGTTATCAAAATATTTTTTAAAAATCTTTAAATTGGTGACATAATATGTGCTATTTTGCTAATGCAATAAATAACATGATCTAGTGGTAGGTTTAATAAGTACTGTAATTCTTTAAAATAGTGATGAACATGAATGATATTTTGAGATATTTACAATTGTAGTGTGATATAAAACTATCTGTGATTTCTACTGGTGAAGAATCATTGCTACTAATACTGTTGTGGTTTGCTGCCTACATACAAATTGAAGAAATTGTCACACTTCAGTAACAGGTCACTGAAAATACAGGCATATTTTTTCCTATCCAGGTTCACGGACCTGAGCTCTTGGGGGTCTGTAACCTCCGGGTTAAGAATACCTGAGTTACCATACAGGTGAGGAAAATGAGGAAGCCCCCTGTGAAAAAAATGAAAAGAGGTTCTATTTGAAAAGAGAAGAACTTCATTTGAATTCCTGAGTAGTACAGTGATGAGTATTAAGTCATTTCCTCCACCCCCAACTCCATCCCATCCCCAGTTTCATTCATTCATGCATTAGGTATGTGTTGAAACTTACTATGCACCAAGAACTAGACTAGCCATTTGGGATTCACTGGATAATTGTAGTGGATTGAATTATGTCCCCCCAAACTCACTGGAGCTTGAATTGTGTCCCCCAAGTTCTATGTATTAGAAACTTAGCCCCCACTGTGACTGTTAAGAGGGTGGGAAATCCTATTATGATAATTGAAAGGTGGAGCCTTGAAGAGGTGATTAGATTGTAGGATCATGCAGTAGTGAATGGACTAAAAATGGTGGTCAGGGCATGGTTCTGAGGGCTTTAAAAGAAGAGAGTGTCTCTTTTGTTCTCTCTGCTCTCACCATCTTGCAATGTGAGACCCCTCAGTCACTATCACCACCACCAGATGGACTTTGGACTTCTCAACCTCAGAAACTATAAGCAATGAATTTCATTTTCTTTATAAATCATCCATTTCAGTGTACTTTGTTAAAAGTAACAAAAACGGACTAATACAATAACTGTTCTTATAAGGCGTATATTCTAGTGAGGAGTTAAACATTAACCAAATGTGTAAAAATGGGTTTACATGCTTAGAAAGGGACAATATGGGTTTTTGTGGGATTATATAAAGGAGGATATTTAAACTAGTTTAGTAGATCGGGATCTCTGGTCTCAGGATTGCTTTGGCTATTTGGGGTTTCATGATAACTGAACTCATAAGAAAGCAATTGACATTTAAATTTCAATTGTATGTAGTATTTTGTATGCAACACATATAACTGACAAAGGGCTTGTATGCAGAATATGTAAAGCATTCCCATAAAATCAACACAAAGCCTTCTTTGAGGAAGTGATGTCTAAGCTGGGACCTGAAGATATATAGGAGTTAGCTAGATGAAAAAGTAGGTGAAGAGTATTCTGAATGAAAGAAATGGCAGGTTTGAAGGCACAGAAGAAAAAGATCATGACAACATTTCTGGACTGGGGAAAAGTGCACTGTGGCTAGAGAAGAAAGAGTGAATGGAAAGTAGTGAGCATTGAGGCTGGAGTGAAGCACGGGCCAGATGTGCATTGCCATATAAATCATTTTAATAATTTTGGGCTCTGTCTTAAAAGGCAGTAGGAAGCCAGTGTAGTGTATAGGTAGAGGAATTATGTGATCAGGTTTGCATTTTAAATAGATCTCTTTAG